ATACCTTCTCAACCGAGTTCATAAGTCGTGTCTATAGACACTATCTTGTTAGATACTATGAAGATGGACATCCTATGGGCAATGGAAGCAAGGTTTTGGACTTGAGGAGGATCAAAAGAGGAGTAACCTGTGTGGATGATGACATTAGAGAGGCCTACATGGATGATGTGATTACCAAGATTGAGTTTGAGGAGGATGGGGGACATAGCATTCACTTCATACATGGAGGGGATGTGAAAGAAATGATGACAAGGCTTGACAACTATTTATCTATTGAATGGAACCCTTCAAGGATGGGACTCACCTTTACTTCATCATGCTTTGACTCTCTCCCAGGGGTTACACATACGGAGGATAGGTATGAGTTCTCCTCTCAGTTTATGAATAATGTTTATCCTTTATTCATCAATAGGTATAAGGGTTGTGAAAGCTATAGGGAATGGGTACAAAGACAAAGAGAGGAGAATAGGCCTTACAAAAGGAAAGGGGGTGGGACCAAACAAGGTTAATGTTTATAGCCTTTTGGAATGTAAGGGGGCTTAACCAAGCCTTAAAACAAAATACTATAGCTACTTTTGTGAGGGTGAATAAGGTACGTATCTTTTTATTATTAGAAACTATAATGTCTTCTACCACTTTTGATAATTTTGTGAATTTTAGGTTTAAAGATTGGATGTCCATTACTAACTTTGACAAAATGAGTGGGGGACGTATGGCCATCATATGGGATCCTAACTTTGTAGATGGTGTAGTTTTACAAGTGAATAAACAACATATTCATGTTAGGTTCACATGTAAAACTACACAACTACCATTTTATGTCACATTTATTTATGCTTTATACACGGTTGTACAAAGAAGAGAACTTTGGGAACATGTATCCAGGTTAAGCTCAAATATCTTAGCTCCTTGGGTGGCTTTGGGTGGTTTTAATTGTGTAGTCTCTCCAAGTGAGAGGAGTGGCTCAACCCCTCCCTCGGCTTATGCAATGAAACATCTAAACGATATGAAAATGGATTCTAGTCTCATAGATGCTCCTTCAACCGGCAAACGTTTTACTTGGCATAGGGGTGCAACTTGGGCTAAATTGGATAGAGTTCTTATCAATTCTTTTTGGAGTTTGCAAAATGTAACATATAGGGGTCATTTCTTTGAAATGGAATGTGAGTTTGATCATGTGGCATCTCTTGTAACCATTGGGTCCGTGATCAATGGAGGGTCCAAACCTTTCAAGTTCTTTAACATGTGGCTAAAACATGAACGCTTTCATGATATCTTATAGAGTGTGTGGACTAGGAATGTTGTTGGTACGGCTCAGTTTAGGTTTGCCCAGAAAGTTAAGCTACTTAAACAACCCCTTAAACAACTCAATAAGGATGAATTTAGCCACATCTCGGCTAGGGCAAAGGAATCCAAAAAGGAGTACAAGAGAATCTATCAATTAGCCCTCTTGTCTCCTTGAGATGATGCTCTAAGAGTAGAAATGGTGGTTGCAAAGAAGAGAGCACTTTTTTTTGAAGGAAACCGGGGAGGCCTACCTTAAACAAGAGGCTAAGGCTGTCCATATCTTACAATCGGATAGGTGTACTAAATATTTCCATTCTATTGTAAAAAAAAAAAAAAGAATGCTCAAAACTCTATTGCTTCTTTGAGATTGGAAGATGGAAGTCTTACCAAATCCACGGACCATGTAGCAAATGAGTTTATAGCTTTCTTTAAAGGTTTATTTAGTACAAAGGTATCAATAGTGGGGTATGATCCGGGGGTAATCTTATCAGGTAAAACCTTAGATCAATCACTTGTTTTTGACTTTACTAGTCATGTCACTGATTTGGAAATTAAACAAGCCTTGTTTGATATTGGTAATGATAAAGCACCTGGTCCGGATGGATATTCGTCAGCTTTCTTCAAAGCTAATTGGAGTAAGGTTGGGGAAGATGTTTGTGATGCCGTGAGGGAGTTCTTCGTGGCAGGAACTATGCTTAAACAGGTTAACCATACTGTGGTTGCACTTATCCCTAAGACAACTCACTCTCCCACTGTTTCAGATTTTAGGCCTATATCATGTACAAATGTGACTTATAAGATCATTACTAAGATGCTTTCATCCCATCTAGGTCCTTGTCTCTCTAGTGTTATCAACCCTTCACATGGATCACGGGGCTTTTGTTGATGGAAGATTGATGTGTGACAACACCTTCTTAATTAGCACAGGAGTTAGTGAGGGGATACTCTAGGAAAATACCCTCACCTAGATGTATGAGTAAAATTGATCTTAAGAAAGCTTATGATACTGTCTCATGGGACTTCCTTGAAAAAGTGTTACTGGATATTGGCATTCCTGTTTTATTTGTTAAGTGGATCATGGAGCGTGTTTCAACTTCTTCTTTCTCTATATCCATCAATGGATCCCTCCATGGATGGTTTGAAGGAAAGAGGGGTCTAAGACAGGGGGACCCTATGTCTCCATTGTTGTTTGTGCTATGCTTAGAGTATTTCTCAAGGATGATAGAAACTAGGAGTTCAAATCCTACTTTCCATTATCATCCTTTATGCTCTAAGCTTAAAATAACACATTTGGCTTATGCAGATGATTTGATTCGTTTCTCTAAAGGAAACTACTCATCTATCAAGATATTAGTGGATGCTTTAACGGACTATGGGCTGGTTTCTGGCCTTCTAGTTAATCATGATAAGTCTAATATCTTTTTAGGTGGAAATGTGGAAAGTAGAATTCCTTATATTTTGCAAAGGGTAGACTTTCAACAAGGATCCTTTCCGGTTAAATATTTGGGTATTCCACATGCTCCTTTAAACATATCTGTAGTTCAATTCTCTCCTTTGATTGACACGTTTACAGATTATTTATATGCGTGGAATTCCAAAACTCTTTCTTATGCTGGAAAGGTTGATTTGATTAGCTCTGTTATGCAAGGTGTTCAATCTGTTTGGCTATGTATTTTCCCTATGTCGAGGGCTATCCTTGATAGGATTACCTCTCTTTAATTTGTAGACTTTTCCTTTGGGGGGAAAACATGCAAAGGTTGCATGGAATGATGTTTGCTTACCAAAAGATGAGGGGGGTTTGGGTATTAGAGACACTAAGGTGTGGAATAATGCCTTACTATCTCATACTCTTTGGAACATTCATTCCATACAAGACTCATTATGGGTTAAGTGGGTTCATGGGGTTTATCTTCAAGGGAGGGATGTGTGGACTTTTGTTCCACACACTAGGGACTCTCGTCTTATGAAGAAACTTTTGACTATCCGGGACTTGATTGTATCCAAGTTCACATCATTAGACTTGGTTGTGACTTACCTTGGAAAGTTCTCCAAAAATGGGAAATTTTCCTCTTCTAAAATATATGATTTGCTTAGAACCAAAGGTAACATCGACCCTTGAATGTCCTTTGTTTGGAAAAGCTATATTCCCCCAAATTCTCTTTTACTACTTGACTTGCTTTCCGGGGAAGGTTAGCCATGTATGACAGTTTGGGGTTTACTGATATGATTAATGTTTGTCATTTTTGTAAGGGTGGCCCAGAAACGGTGTCACACCTATATTTTGAGGGTACATTAACAGGACAGTTTTGGAACTTGGTACGGGATTGGCTTGGACTCTTGAGATAGATGACAACACTTCCAAGTGTAGTCGAATGGATTAAAAAGGAGCATAATGGAGCACATGCTAAAGCCAAGGCCGTGAGGCTCTCCTTTTGCTACACTGTTTATTGGATATGGCGTATGAGGAATATGCTTTGTTTTGAGAAGGCCAAGACTACGGTGTTGGATATGGCCAAACATATCAAGTTTATGGTGTATAAAGTGCTTTATTCTATGTATCCGATTGATAGGATAACATTCTGATTTTTTTTTGTTTTGTCACCTTTTTTGTGATGGCTAGCATGTATATGTAGCCAGATGGGGTTTTGAGGTGACAGGGTATCCTTTCTTGGGATGACCCATAGATGTTTTTGCTATTGTACAGATGTACATAAACACTTTGGATATAATAGCTCCGTCCCAAAATGAATCTCATTTCTTTTGGGCTCAAAGATTAAGGAAGTGGTTGAAAAGGTAAAAGTTATGGTTGAGATTTGAGTAGAAAAAGGTGAAATAATGTGGACCACATCTTTCTTTCCAAAAAGGGAAATGGGACTATCAATTTGGGACGGCCCAGAAAGGAAATATGAGACCATCAAATTGGGACGGAGGGAGTATATATTTACAGTTTATCCATAAAAAAGGTCACAAACTTCATTTCATTTTTCATTAATAAAATCTTCCCAACCATTAGAAATAATTATTTCTGATGTTTGGGCCTCTCATGCTGTCTCGTTTGATAACTTTAAATATTATGTCATTTTTATTGACCACTTTACCAAATACATCTAGTTTTATCCTCTGAAGCATAAATCGGATGTCAGTTCCACATTCAAAGCCTTTCGCCTACTGCTTGAAAATACCCGACATAAACTCCAATCCCGCTCTGTTTCGTGTATTTTTCTTGGCTACTCTCTTAGTCAAAGTACTTATTTTTGTTATGATCCTAATAAATCTCATATATATGTCTCTCCCTATGTCATATTTGTTGAGAACATATTTCCTTATCCCACCTTCACAAAAAATCCTACCTCTCCTCCAATAACCCCATGGACCACCCCCCACATTATTTTCTAAATCCCCACTTCCGTCCCATAAATCAAAAGAATGCACCTCCCTCACACCAAATAATTGGTCCACTACTTTATCCTCAACTAACTCTTCCCCAATTAATTCCTTATCAGATAATCCTCCCCCAACTAGAACATCTCTCCCGGCCATGAAATCCGGTCGACTCTCAACACACTAACCCATCCACTTTATCCCCTCATAATTATTCCCCCACTAATAATTTTCTCAACAATAATTCTCCAACCCAATTCTCCAATACGTCAGACATTCCCACTCCCTCAAATATATCTCCCATGCATGAGTCAACTCCCATGCAACGTCAACTTACTCCCATCTCATCTTCACTCAACACTTCTCCCGACAATTCCACCACACCTATCGAGTCTCCCCCCACGTTGCATGGTCACCCGGTCTATGAATAATATTTATCGTCACCAAATTTATCCTCAACTCTACTCTTTCTCCTGCATGTGTCGCCTGAACCTAGTACTTTAAGGAAGCTCTATTTGATCCTAATTGGCGACATGATATGTCCGAGGAATTCAAAGCACTCATTAAAAATGGCACTTGGACGTTGGTTCCTCGTACTGGCCGGGAAAATACTGTTGGGTGTAAATGGGTCTTTCGTACTGAACGGTTATCTAATGGTGTTATTGACATGTACAAAGCCCGGTTGGTCGCCAAAGGTTTTCATCAACGGCCTGGAGTTGATGTTAGCAATGCTTTTTTTGCAAGGTCATCTCTATGATGAAGTTTTTATGCTTCACCCCCCCCCCCCCCCCCCGAGTTTGTTGATCCTACAAAGCCTAATCATATATGTCGCCTTCACAAGGCTTTGTATGGTCTCAAACAGGCACCTCGAGCTTGGTATCAAGAACTCAAGCACTACTTTCTTCGGCTTGGTTTTATTAATTCCAAAGTTGATACATCTTTATTTGTTTATCATCATGATAATCATATCATTTACATTCTGGTCTATGTTGTTGACATTGTTATTACTGGAAGCTCCACTGATTTTGTTGAAGCATTGATCACTAATCATGGCCACATGTTTTTTCTCAAAGATCTTGGTGTTCTCTCTTTTTTCCTTGGCGTTGAGGTTATCAAGCATCCTCAAGGTATTCTTCTTTCTTAACAGCGGTACATCTTGGATCTTCTCTCTCGGACAAAGATGACCACATGCAATGGTGTGACCACTCCCCTTGCTGCTACCTCTAAACTTAGTCTTCACTCGAGCAGCCCACTTGTCAATCCAGAAGAATACAGATCCGTGGTTGGCAGCCTTCAATGTCTCGCCCTTACTCGGCTAGATTTATCTTATACAGTGAACAAGCTCTCCCAATTTCTTCACAAGCCTAAGACTGATCATTGGGAGGCTACCAAAAGAGTACTAAGCTATCTTCGTCACACGGCTGATCATGGCCAGCCTCTTATTATGCCACTCCCTTTCTCTCTCCTTGCATGCCTATTTGATGCAGATTGAGCCAGAAATCCGGATGATTACACTTCTACTGGAGCTTTTGCAATTTTCTAGGTCCCAATGTTATCTCATGGAGCTCTCTCAAGCAACGCACAATTGCTTGTTCCTCTACCGAGGCCGGTTACCGTTCCGTTGCTACTACCGCTGCCGAACTCCGATGGATTTTATCTCTTCTGACCGAGTTACATATTGTTATCCCCACTCAGCCAGCAATCTACAGTGACAATGTTGGTGCAACACATCTCTGTGCTAATCATGTCTTTCACTCTCGCATGAAACATCTTGCATTACACTGTCACTTCATTCGTGAACATGTTCAGTTCTTCACAATGACATTCTTCTGGTCTCTCATGTTTGCTCTGAAGACCAACTAGCTGACTCTCTCAGCTCACTAAGCCTCTCCCACAACGTCGATTTCATGATCTTCACATCAAGATTGGAGTTCTCCAATTCCCAGACCCTCCAACTTGCGGGGGCACATTGGAGATAAAAAATAAATTATAATTATATTCCCATTTGAAATTAATAAACATAATATTATCTTCTAGTTAGTTAGATAGACTTTATCTTTATATTGTACTCCTATTGTGAGCACACATTATTCATTCTCTCAAACTTTACAAATTAAAGACTTGGTGTGGGAAATAGGAGGGCTGGACAAAAATTAAATCAATAAACCCAAACTGATCCAGACCGAATCGATGATGAAAACCAAAACTGACGATATTAAACCAATCATATCATAGGTGGTTTGATTCACAGTTTAAAGATTAAGCATGAAAACTGACCAAATCTGCCTAAAAATGATTAAACATGCCAAAACGAAACTAACCAAAATTAATCGAATCAAAACAATGGAAAACTGACTAAAACTAGCTAGTTTGAGTATGTGCTTTGTGCTTACCTTTCTCAAAACCAACTGAGAGAACCGACAATTGACAAAACCAAACCATTGAACACTCCTAGTAATTTTTTCCACAATCTATTGAAATTTTTAGTTTTTTTCACAAGCAAGTTTCAATTCTACTTTTTTCATTTTTATCCTTTTCTCTGATATTTTTACTATTGTTTCAATATTTGTGAAAATTTCCTATTTGCTTAAGGAAGAAGGAAGTGTGTGTATATACTACTTTCTTGCAATTTAATTCTCACAGTTATGTCTCAAAATTAAGTTCTTATTTTTGTTTTTATTAATAAATTACTCCGTATTAATTACTCCGTATTATTTTTCTCTATCATACTTTTAAGCAATGGAAAATTCCTGGAAGTTAGAATGCCAATAAAGGGGTGTTTGGAATTGATTTTGCTTTAATTTTGCTTCTTTAGAAGCTGGTTTCTCCAAACTTTTACAAAAATGCTTCTATGAGCAATTTGTAGCACTAGAAGTACTTTTGTACTTTCACTCAAACATTCCAATATATGTTTCTACTACCTCCGTCACAAATTGATTTGCAAATTTGACTTTTCTTGGTCAAACAGTTTCATTTTATTTACTTAATTAAGATGTCAACTTTTAATTATATTCTAATTTCGAGTTTGCAACTTTGAAGAGAATTCAATATAGTTTCTGAATATGTAAATTTTAATTATTTAAAATTGAGTTAATTATCAATAAGGAAGTTTGACTTTTATTATTGGTTGACCAAAAAATGTTGACTTTGCAAAACAATTTGGGATGGAGTGAGTACTTTCTAAAGGAGCAAAAACATTTTTAATAAGTAAGTAGATCCAAACACCCCCAAATTACGTACCCGTAGTATTTTATCTAAAAGGAGTCCGTAAAGCTGAACTAAATACTTAATTGCGGGATTGATGTAGTATTATAATATTTAATTATTTACCACGTACCTGATTTTCATAGAACCAAGGTCTCCATGGTTTGGTAATGGGAAGATCCAATGCACCTATACTGTATCTAGTAGATAATACGGGGAGTCTTCCACTAGTATCTCCACTGAATTAGTCAAAAATATTATCATGTTAGGGCACAAATTTTCACTTGCCATGGTGTCTATAAGATTGTAATCAGGGGTGGGCAATTCGATTTACGGTTCGGTTTTCTTCAGTTTCGGTTCAGTTTCGGTTTATTCGTAATTTGTTATTGTTATCACCAAACATCTTTGCATACAGGTAGAGTACAAAATATAACAAATACAAATATATCGTATTAGCTAACTTTGCAAATGACAATCCATATCACCATTAGTACATGTGTAATGTGTTGTTTTGATCAAACTTAATTAATTGTTGATGAATACTATGTATAATTTATGAACAAAAAAATTACTGAAGTTACTATACATAGTTATTATAATGTAGAGTCGAACACAATTATGATCACTCAAATTACTATCATAGAGTAATTAAGGAGATATCGGTCAGCAAAATGTTCCGTTACTTGGGCTCCATAATTCAGAAGGACGGTGAGTTAGATGGAGATGTATCCCATAGAATCAAAACTGGGTGGATGAAGTGGAAGAGTGCGTCAGGATTTCTATGCGATAGAGGTATGCCGACTAGATTGAAGGGTAAATTTTATAGGACATCAATTAGGCCTGCATTACTGTATGTCGTAGAGTGTTGGGCGGTAAAACAATGTCACACTCAAAAGATGAGTGTGGCGGAGATGAGCATGCTGTGTTGGATGTGTGGGCATACTAGGAAGGACCACGGGAGAAATGCTTGAATGATTAATATGTCAAAATTTTCATGTAGCAACTAGGTGTAGCCAGATTTAATTTAAGTTATACCTGCCAAGTGTTATAACTCGTACTTCTATAGTCTATAAAGTATCGTTTTCATTAGACTTAAAGTGAGACTTAATGAGACAATCAGACAAAGGGTGGGAGTAGCACCTATTGAAGACAAGATGTGGGAGTCGCGCTTACGGTGGTTTGGTCATGTGCGTAGAAGACCGAGTGATGCACCTGTCAGACGAGTTGAGATGTGTGGAGAAGAGGCAGGGAAGAGAGGGAGAGGAAGGCCCAAACGGCCGTGAGTTAGGGGAGTCAGAAGTGATATGCTTCTTCTTTGGTTAGATGAGGGTATGGGTTTGAAGAGAGCAAAGTGGAGGGCAGGTTTTCGTGTGGAGGAGTACTGATCTCGTATTATCTTTTCGCATCATCTTTTTTTTATCCTTTTATCCTTATATATAAACATTATTTTTATCCTTTTTATTTTATCATTTTTAGGTATATTCATCTCTTTTTACATTATATTTTTTATAATAGCTTATCTTTTTATATCTTTTTTTTTCTTTTCCTTTTGGTGGTAATATCATGTATCGATTCATGTTAGTCGACCCCAATATCTTTTGGGACTGAGGCTTGGATAATGTTGTTGTTGTTGTTGAGTCACTCTACAAAATTTTAAATTCAACATATATCCATATCATAGTTTTTCTTCTTTTATTAGCTAATTAACTCTTCTGTGTTCACTGTTCATGATGCCTCCATTATGTATCTTTTATATTCCAAATATTGTAAATAAATTGACACAAAATGAGTCAAAACCATAAAATAATTGTATTATTATGATTTTGATTATCTTAAAACTTTTTATTATTTATTAGTTTAGCTTTGAATTTGAATCATTGTAATGGGTGTGCAATTGTGCGCACGGGAGAGTTAGAATGATAAATAACAAATCTTGTAATACGAAGTGTTGGTATGTATGAGTAAGGAAAGATAATTTTTCTGTTGTAAAAATGACTCATGTGCAATTAAATATTTCAATAAAAAATGCTACGGAATATATAAGAAAGCATAGCCAAAACAATAGAATATAAGGCTATAAGCTACACTTGATAAGGTTTATTGCACAAAAGGTATTTTGCAAAATAGAGTTGCAACACCCAAATATAGTATATGGCACGATTGATAAACTTTCTTGCACAAAATACTTCTATGGGCAATGTAGGTTTGTGATGCACAAACTATTGTTTTGGGCATTGAATATTTCATTATGCACATGGTTTATTTTGGGCAACGAATATTTGGTTTATCACATAAAGTACAATGGGCCACAATGCATAGGCAACAACCTTGTGACGATTTTAATTTAGTTGCACAAATTAAAATGGGCCACAATGGGCCAGAATGTGCGACAAAAGAACGATTTGTTTTTGCACAAAATTGTTTTTTCTCATAGTGTTGTCATAATGAATGTATGAAATGTGTAGGAGTTAAAATGATATATGGTAAACATGTATTTTCATATCTAAATTACAGTATTTATTATATCCGAAAGATGAAGAGTAAAGATAAATACAAAGTATTTTCATATACTATACTACAAGTTGTTCGGTGTTCGGTTCGATTGACGGTTTTTTGGTTTTAAACAAACCAAACCAAACTACCCATTTTCAGTTTGGTTTGATTCAGTAGTGGAAGAATATTTAAACTGCTTTAAGAATGGGGTAATGGCCTCATAGGTCCGTTGTTCCCGGCTCTCTTCTATTCACCCATTCACTATAGGGCCACAGAAGTCCATGACCGAAAGCGGTAAGTTTTGCACAGTTGGACTAATAAAATCAGTCGTATTTTTTAAAAAGCAATCTCTGATACTAGGAGTTGAAATAAGGTGACAACGTTGAATAGTGTTTTTTGTTTAAGAGGCCGTTTGGTAACACTATTTTTCGGCTTATCAGGCATATCAGTCAACTTTTTCACCAAACACATAACTTTTGTTTTCGCGCGCTGAATTGTGTAATAATAATTAAAAAATCATATTTTAAAATTGTACAATAAGACTAATTTGACATTATTTTAAAAATAATTTAGTAATACATTAATAAATGTAGTCAAAGGAGAACATGTGAGTAATGTAATATTCAAGATCTTATACTAATATCTAGTTCTACAGTTCTACTATTTAACTTGATCATCCAAATTAGTTTTGCTCCCATTTCTTTTTCAAATAGGCACTCAGACAATCATGATGAGGTTGGAAAATTATAATGATGAGGTGCTCTAAAGTCTAATTAAATTGAAATATGTCAACAATGTAGTAGTTCGGAAGGGAAATCAAATTTTGAGCAAAAAATAGATATTAGGCTTATACAATGTGGTACATTACATATATTTCCTCCGTCCCGAAATTTCTGATTTTACTTGCACACATATTTATGTAAGGTAGAATTTGGTTTGACTTTCCAAATTTATCCTTATTTTATGTCAAATCAAGCGAAAAGTGGATAAAAGGTAAGAGTAGCTGTGACTTTTGGGATAAAAGTAGTCTTCTTTTATAGAAATGAGAACTTCTTTTTAGGACATTTATAAACGGAAAGTGAGAACTTCACGGAGGTAATATTTTTTACTTGAGCCTAAACCTCAAAGTTTAGCTTAGAACTCTTAATATAACCCAAATACCCAATGTTTCCTTTGAAAACGCGAACCATTTCACTTTTAATTAATTTTACCGAAAAATATCCACTAAACTTAGACCTCGTTTGGTAGCACGAAAATCGGCTCATTTGGCTGATTCTGCTGAAATTTATGAAGTTCTAGTTGAAGTGGCTATATTGGCTGATTCTGCTGATTTAAGAAAAAATTATTTTTAAAATATATTTTATTAATAAAGTAAAGAAAAAATTATATGTAAAAATAGCTAAA